TGCCAGTAGGAACGACCATGCCTCTTTAGTGATAGTAAGTATAACCTATAAAATTTCCATTTTCATTCTTAAAGTTGCTTATCCCTTTCCTTTCATTATGTGAGTTTTATTTTTTTTTTAATTTTTTATTTTGTATGTATTTAGTACAGGGTCTACAGAGTCTCAATATACAGATCAGACTCAGAGTGATCCTCCTAATTGCAGCCTGGCAAGAGCTGGGATTACAGGCATGCACCAACACACCCAGTCTCAGTCGCCATCTCAGTGCACCCTGGGGGCAGGGCCAGCATGGCATGCTGGGATTGAACCTGGTCCCTGAGTCGGCCTAAGCTAGTGCTTTAATCTGCTGAGCTATCTGACTGGTCCCATTATGTGACCTTCAAAAGTGAAAAAATCAAACCTTTCAGGCTAATAAAAATCATGAAGGAAAATATTTGAATTCCATACACTAAAAAATATGGTTAGAGATTATGAGATAAACTTTGACAAAATTTTAAAAAAAGACGTATACAAAATTAACCTATAAGTGCAATGTGTTAATTATTGAAACTGTCCTACCAATTTGGTTTGAAACTGTCTCATTGCTATTTGTTTCTCAATAAAATTATGGGGGGAAAAAAACCCCAATACCAAAATTAACCTATAAGACTGGGCATGGTGGTGCATGTCTGTAATCCCAGCGCTTGGGAGGCTGAAAACAGGAGGATCACTGTGAGTCCGATCTACACAGTGAGACCCTGTACAGCCTGAACTAAATATATACAAAAAATAATAATCTGTAGTGCTAGAAGTCAAAACTACGGTTGCTTAAAGGAAAGGCTTGACTGGGAAAGAGCAGGGAAAACCATTTGAGATGTCAGTAATGCTCTCAATCTTGCTGGTACTATGTGGCCAAACTACATACCTAAAATGTGTGCATTTCACTGTATGTAAGTTACATTTTTAAAAAACAAACTTGCATAGAAAACTCCTTATGTAGACATTCACCCAAAAGAGTGACTTGCCTTGTGGAAACAAGGATGAAACCAATAGAGATCTTTCAAACATACTGTAGCTAAATTCATCTCTGTTCAACTACTATGTCCATGAGACATATCCATGAAGAGTTTCCTTTCAGGCCATATTAGTGAGTGGATTCTGCATTCAGTAAGAATGAGGGTATTATTTTAAAACTTTACATATTACTGTGATAACATATCCATTGATTTCACTGTCCAGTAAAATACATTTGAAATTTAATAGAACTTCATTCTAAATACAAGATGGGACTGGGGAGATAGCTCAGCGGTTTAAGCACCTGCCTGGAAAGTGCAAGGACCAGGGTTTCATCCCCAGTAACACATGCCCTGTCAGCCCAGAAACTGGGAGTGGTGGCGCATACCTGTAATCCTAGCACTGGGGAGGCTGAGACAGGACGATCATTACAAGTGTGTAGTGAGACCCTATACCAAATAAAATAAGAAAGAAAGAAAGAAAGAAAGAAAGAAAGAAAGAAAGAAAGATTAAATAAAATAAAATGGATGCAACTAGAGAACATTCTCTTAAATGAAATAAGACCCACATGTCTCCTTAGTGTAGAACCTGAAAGAGAAAAATGGATTCTGAAGGGTTCAGTAGGTTTGGGAAAAGGGAATGAACTTAGTCAAAAGGAAAGAATTACTGAGTTGAGTAGGACAGGAGAGGGAGTGGGAGAAAGAGATTTACCTATGTACGTAAGCAGGATGGTTTGGACAACTGTACTGTGCATTTCTGCTGGTCTATGGAAAGAAACAGTTAATGCTTTAATTTGTTTTGTCTCCTTTTTTGAATTGTTTGTACCTTTTCTCTTAATTTCTTATACATTCTTCTCTTTATTTCTTTCTTTTTCCAATGTTACATGCATGTATCTGGTGATATGCATAACTGGTTGGAAGACAACACTATGTATTACAACAAATACTGTGAAATTCATATTACTTTGTTTTGTTTTTTTTAAATTTAATTTAATTTTTTAATTTTTAATAGATTGTAAATTGAAAATAAATTATTTACAAACATAAATGAATATAACAATAAAAACTGTC